ACTCTTTCCTGGGCTCTCTCTCCGCCTTCTAGACAAGCACTATACCTTTGTAAATGGGTTACCCCCATACAGCCACCCACGCATCAGGTACAGTATGAAAACCAGGGGCATCCTGTTATGACTTCTTGTTTCCTGTTTCCTGTGAAAAATACAACCCCCCCACCAACTCTCACACAGACACTGTGCTCCATCGCTCATCACACACCAAACAGAGCAGAGCTGGGATCAGCTGCCTAACACCCCATTCCAAATACTGTAGATTAATTTGAGTGTTTGTACTTAAGGAAATTAATTCAGTATAAATATCACACTGCCACTTGGATTCAATTAACAATACAATGGTGTGCATTCTCTTTTTAGACAGCTCCCAGTAAGACTCCAGTATTTTCGGCAGTGATATGTTTGTCTCAAGTGCTCAGTCCCTTGAAATCTACAAAGCTGCAGCATGCGGAAGTTGTTATGCTATACTATAAGGTGACAAGAGCAGCTGTTTTGCCCCATTCCTTACAACATTTAATTTGTTTTTATTTCATGTATATATATTCTCATTTCACATGCCAGGGAAGAAGAAGTACAAGTGTCAAGGGACCACTGAAACAGCAATAACAGCAGTGTGTGTGCTTGTGTATGAACTGCAGGCCCCCACTTGCCAAAAAAAACATGAAAACAGCACTGTTTGTGACACACAACATGCTGCCGCTGCACACCCCCTGAAGAGATACCTGAGCATCTCTCTCAACAGGGGTCAGCCACATCACTCTTAATGAGCAAAAATCTTTCTACCTTCCTGCAGAGGATCTAGCCTGCGGTGCTGAATGCTCAGGAACGGTGTGCATGGTTAATTGTCTTGGCACAAACTCTTGGTTCCATTTCCCCATCTTTTATGCTGTGGCTTTTGTTGGTGCTGAAAAAGTACTTACTCATGTAGTCCATTTTCATACCTGTGATTATTTTTAACAGTTTTGGATGGGTGCTATCATCTTGTTTATGTTTCACAGGGGTCTAAAAGCAGCATTGTTCAGTATTTTTGTGAAAATACAATTATTTTTTTCTTTTTGATCAGGCCTTTACATTCTATAGAAACCTCATTCACTTTTTTCCTTATGAAAAGAGTAAAAGCACAATAGCATCAAGTTCATTTTCCTCATTTTTAGCTCATCATCCCCTCCCCCTTTCTTGCAGATTGGAATTCATTAGCAATCAAAGAGCCACTGACAAACGCCCAATCTTAATTACCCCCTCATTTGCATATTTGCATATTAATAACTGCAGACTTTGCTGTTTTTCTGCTGCAGCATTCCCCCTCCCATGAACATTGCTCAGACTTAGCCACACATACCGCAGCTCCGTCTTTCTCCAAGCTCAAGGCACCACACTGTCAGACTCAGGTTGACAGACATTCAAGGGGAGACATTTCATTATCACTCCAGACATTAGCTAAACAGATGAATCATTGTATTTGCAATCCAAACAGATGACTGATGTACTTCAGCAGGGCTTTAATTCACCACCCTTACTTTCTTTCCATATTAGTTCACTTGGTTTCAACAACAAATAATCAATATGCCTCTCAACCAAGGTATATTTATGGTTTGGTAGTATACATCATTTGGTAAATATAGCAAATGCCTTCAGTTATGTAGCTATTATGATGCCCCCTTCTGGTGAAATGACTGTAAAACAGAGAAGTAATGTACTGACAAATGCTGTGGCCACATCAGGTTGACATGATACAATACATAAACATTTAGCGGCAACTATGACTTTATAAAGTGAACGTTTTTGATCGTTTTGCCATTAAAAACATATATATTCTTAAACCATTACTGAGAGAAAGTCATATACAAACAAAATAATGGAGTGAAAGGCCCTAATCCTGCCACAATACAGGATGCACCTGAATAGCAAATCCGTCTCCTTGTTACATCATAGCACACACAAAGAAATGACCACTTGTTTCAGTTGTGATGCAGCTTGCTCTAAATATAAAATCAGTCTTACTAGTTATTGCAGTATGTCCTATCCAGGGCTGGATCTATAGTATTTTTTGCAAGCCTTTGCCCTAGCGTAACTAATCTGAAGCTAATGATACCAGAACAAGCTGAGGATTCTCTTTTAAGTTAACAATTCCAACATACAAACGGAGCAGATGGGGCATTTAAGGTTGCAATTTTATTTATTTGTTTTTGGCTGTGACATGTGGGTCATGCTAAAATGTTTTTAAACATTGTTCTTCACCTCAAGATGTCTCAAAACTTGTAAAAAAATCAGTCACATCAACAAATGCGAGACACTTCCTAGACTCAGTGACCTCTTGTTACGCACATGACTGATCTCTTCAGTAAAATAAAAATATTCTTACATTTCCCAATGCTTGCATATATAAAACAAATTATATGTATTTAGCTGTACACGTGTGCAGATGCTTCACTATGATTGTAATAACTGGAATTGACACACTTGTGCTGTTAGCCTCAGAACAAATTTAAAAAACTAAAAACCAAAGAGCAGGATTGATTAAAATGGAACACAGCTATTATGTTTGTTTTTATATTCTTCAAGAGATATCTTTTCCAGTTGTGATACACAGCTTGTTGGTGAGGATAAACAGAAGCCTAGTGGGCATTCAGACAGCTCCACGTGGGAAAACAGTGTAGCAGTGCTACACAATAGCTGTGGCTGTAATGGCAGTGACAGATTTAAATGCAGGGGGTAGCATTTTTAAAGAGATTGAAATACAGGAACTCTAGATTTGTTAATCGCCAAATAAGAGAAAACAACCAGAGGAATTATGTTGTGAGTGATTTAAGAAGACATTTCCATGGAAAACAATCTTTCCAAGCATGTGATCAAGTGACTTAATTGTCAGATGTGATATGACAGCTGGAGCATTTTGGGGGGGGGGGTTCACCTGAGGGAGGATGTGTTCAAGATGTGTTTATATATGATTTTAGGCAGCAGCTTCTCCATGTTTTTACATACTGTGTGCACAAGTATAAGCAGATTGTGCATTCAGTCTGCAGT